TTTTCTCTTGATGAGTCTGGTTAAAAGTTCTTCTAGCTTTTTATCTTTTCAAAGAATCATCTCTTGGTTTCATTGATCTTTTGAATCATTTTTAGATTCTATTTTGTTTATTTCTGCTCTGATCTTTATGAATTCATTCTTTGTACTCATTTTGGGTTTTGTTTGTTGCTCTTTTTCAAGTTCCTTTAAGTGTAAAGTTAGATTGTTTATTCGAACTTTCTCTTTCTTTTTTTTTTTCTTTCTTTTCTTTTTTTTTCTTTTTTCTTTTTTTTTTTTTAGGTAGGCCTGTAATGCTATGAATTTCCCTCTTAGGACTGCTTTCCCAGTGTCCCACAGATTTTGAATTGTTGTGAGCTCATTATCATTTGTTTCAAGGTATCTTTTGATTTCTTCCTGGATCTCATTGTTGACCCATTCATTGTTTAATAAGATGTTATTTAGCTTCCATGTCTTTGCATGTTTTTCAGTGTTCTTCTTGTGATTGATTTCTAGTTTCATAGCACTGTGGTCGGAGAAGATGCTTGATATTTCGATCCTCTTAAATTTGTTGAGACTTGTTTTGTGTCTATCCTAGAAAACATTCCATGTGCACTTGAAAAGTATATATATTCTGCTACTTTGGGGTGAGATGCTCTAAAGGTATCAATTAAATCCATATGATCTAGTTGTTGTTTAAGGCTGCTGTCTCCTTTTTCATTTTCTGTCTGGAAGATTTATCTATTAAAGTCAAAGGAGTGCTAAAATTCCCAACTATGACTGTATTTCTGTCAATGTCTCTCTTTATGTCCATCAAGATTTGCTTTACATACTTAGGTGCTGCTATGTTGAGTACATAAAGGTTTACTGGGATTATAGCCCCTTGTTGGATTGGTCCCTTTTATTATGTAGTGTCCTTCAATGTCTCTTACTATAGCCTTAGTTTTAAAGCCTATTTTGTTGGATATTAGTACTGCTACCCCAGCTTTTTTTCTCTTTTCCATTTGCATGAAATGTCTTTTTGCATACCTTTACTTTTAGTCTGCGTGTATCTTTCCATTTGAGTTTGGTCTTTGGAGGCAGCATATATAAGGGTCTTGTTTTCTTATCCATTTAGCTACCATCTATCTTGGTTGGAGCATTTCAGCCATTTACATTTAGATATATATGTAGAGCCATTTTATTGTTAGTCTGTTTTCCTCTTGTTTTCTTTCTTTTTCTTCTTCTTATTATTAAAGCAAGCCCTCTAATATTTGCTGCAGTACTTGTTTGCTGTTAGTTAAGAAACTCCTTTAGCTTTTTCTTGTCTGGGAAGTTCCTTATTTCTCCTTTGATTTTAAAAGATAGGCTTGCTGGGTAAAGCCGCCTTTTTTGTAGGTCCTTATTTTTCATCACCTTGAGTATTTCACACCACTCCCTTCTGGCCTGAAATGGTTTTGTTGAGTAATCGGATGCTAGTCTGATTGGTGTTCCCTTGTAGGTAACTACCCACTTTTCTCTCGTGGTTTTTAGGATTCTCTTGTCTTTAAGCCTTGTCATTTTAATTATGCTGTGTTTTGGTGTAGGGCTCTTTGAGTTCAACTTGTTTGGGACACTCTTAGTTTCCTGGATTTGTGTGTCTTTTTCCTTCACCAGATTAGGGAAGTTTTCAGTCATTATTTCTTCAGATACGTTCTTGATCACTTGCTCACTCTCTTTACCTTCTATTATTCCCATGATGCAGATGTTGTTATGCTTCATGTTGTCCAAAATGTTTCTTACGCTCTCCTCATTTTTTAAAAATTCTCATTTCTTTATGCTTCTCTGCCTGGGTGTTTTTTTCTACTTGGTCTTCCAAAACACTGATTTGATCCTCTGTTTCATCTAACCTACAGTTTATTCCTTCCAGTGTATTATTTATTTCAGATATTGCATTCTTTATTTCTGACTGGTGCTTTTTTTATGGTTTCTAGGTCTTTTTTTTCATGCTGTTGAGTATCCTTATAATGATTACTCCAAACTCTCTATCTGATAAATTGCTTGCTTCCATTTCATCTAGTTATTCTTCTGGAGAATTCATTTGTTCTTTCATTTGGTGGCTGCTTCTTTGCATTTTCCACCTTAGTTGTTAAATGAATCAATTGTTAAGCTGATCAATTGTTAAACTGTTAAGTTGTAATCACTAGCCAGACAGCGGAGTAATTCCTGTAGGCATGATTATTGCTTCCCCTCAGGCTGATACAATTCAGAGAGGAGTATTCTGCCTGAGAGAGATGGCTCCCACAGTATGGGGAATGACTCGGCACAAGGATCCCAGAGCCACCAACCCAAGTCTCTCCTCAAGAAGCATCTCTAGGTCATTCTGCCCTCCCTCTGTCAGAGCCCATGGTGACTGCAAATGAAATTTTATGCATTGGCCCTTTAAGAGACTGAGTCTCCAACCATCTCTTCCAGGCAGATAGAAAGAAACCCTGCTGTTTTTCAGAGCTGGGTGTTATCTGGGCTCCTATCTGGCTTTGGTGCTATAGACTGGGGAGCTCAGCTTGGGATTTAGACCCCACACTTCTCAGGGGGAACCCCTCAACCCCTGAAATACCCCTCCAGCTCTTCAGTTGCCACCCATGGGAACCCATCTTGCTCTCTCATGTCTTCTCTGCACTCTCTACCAGTCTAGTTGTGGTGAAGTGGTTTCTTCTGTCTGTCCTTGGTTATAAAGCTTCTTTCAAGTTTGTGTTCAATTGGTTATTCAGGATAATTTCTCTACAATTTAGTTGTAATTCCAGATTGGTCCTGGGAGGAGGTTAGTGTAGCTTTCACTTACTCCTCCTCCATCTTGGGTAGTTTTTGAAATAGAAGCCACATGGGAAACCATCAGCATCAGTCAGAGGTAGAAGGAAGAGGAGCAAGGAGCAAAGTTTTTTTGAAAACACAACACATTTGCCCATTTTATGAAAGGTGATTTACAAGCACACCTGCCCACAGTGCGTTGAGTGATCAGCAGTTTTGGACCAAAAACAATATGACCCCTATATCCCACCCTCCCTATTCACCCTGACTTTCCTTGTGCAATGAGTTTTCTTGTTTGTTTGTTTGTTTCTCTGGATAGAAAAAATCATCAAAGAAAACTGTTTTGCCAGTGTGGAAGAGGTAAAACAAACAAACAAAAAAGCAGAAACACTAAAATGCATCAAAGTTGATGAGTTCAAAAACTGTTTTAAAGTAGTGTAAAAAACACCTTAATAGGTGTATTGCATCAAATGGAGAGTACTTTGACAGTGACTGAAGTTTAAACATGTAAGAATAAATACACAATTTTTGAAAAATAAATCCCAGGTTTTTTGGGTCTCCCCTTATACGTAATATATGAATTCTATTAAGTAGCTCCAGCTTTAAAATACTCTTAAATACCACCCCGTAGGACTATTCACTTACTCTCATATATTCATGTCATGTTCAGATAATTCCCTCCTATTTTCTCATTTTTACTTGTTAGTTTTCAAATAATTTACCAAGTAGTGAACAATCAACAAATATGTTAGCATCTTAACTGAACTCATAGTAAACTTAGAACTTATTTTTTAAATAGTTATCATCCACATTTGATTCAATCTTGCTACCTCAGAAGGAGATATGCCCATGCTTTTGTTCAAGTGACCTAGCATATACCTCACTGGAGTGTCTTATTTTTGGTTAATATACCCTGTGTATATAGCTGATATAAAGGAATTTATAATATATTGACCCAACATTGGAATGAACTTTCTTGTCAAACAGGGAATACTGCATTTGGTTAAGCAAAATGTATTTACTATTTAGTCAGGGGAATCAGAAAATATCACCACATTGAATAAAATAATAAATATTAAGAAATTTAAGATTACATGCTATGTGTCCTGCTCTACCCAAAATAAAACAATAGCTATTACAAATGGTGATATCCTCATTTTAAATTTGATGACTTGAAGGAAAAGAGAAGTTCAGCACCATGGCCCCTCCTCTCTTTCAGCTATTAAGTAGTTGACCATAGATTTAAACTTATGTTCCTATGAATCCAAAGAAATGTAGCCCCTTGCTATTTCTATTGCTCTATCCCAAAAATGTTGGTTGGAAACCAGGGAAGTCATTTGACATTTTCCTTGTGTTCCTCTTAGGAAGTCATGACAAATGCACAAGGAACACTAAGTTGTCCAGGGTAGCACATGCTAAGATACTTATCATAATTATCATAAATAACAAAGGTTTCAGGAAGGAAAAAAATCACTGTGAGGTAAGACATTTATATAGGGCTTGTAGAGAAATTAATGCTCAAACTTAACCATAGAGAGCAGATGTATGATGGTGGAGATAAAAGAAACCCATTCCTTTCCAAAAATGGAATCAGAGAGAGATTATGGCAAATTGAGGTCAGGCAAACAACATCCTAGATAAGAGGAGTTTGTTCAGAGAGATAAAGATTGTGTGATAGTAATGGAAGCAGTGTACTTGTAATTTTATCTATCAGACAGGTATATAATTTATGCATTAGGCAGTGGGGAGCAGTAAAGGGGAGAAATAAATTAGACACATTGTTTTAAGAAGACTGACAAAGAAACTGAATACAGAATCATTTGACATATTAAAGAAGCACATGAATGATGGAACATAAAACACCACCATGAAAATCTAATTATAAAATATGCAGAGGCAGGGTTAAGCAAAATTCATGGGAATTGAAGATAAAACATAAATAAGCAGTTTTTTAAAATTCACCTAATGCAACCTCTAATTAGGTTCAGGAGGTGAAGGATGAAAAGAGTTAAAGAAAACTTTTAATTATCAATTCAGGCTCAAGAATAAAGACATAGGGGAAAATTTCCCAAAAGGTTGGAATAAAACTTTGCAGGAAGAGTATGAAAGGTACTGAATAATTTGTCCTGATAATTATTCAGTCAAATCTCTCGGGCTTCATCGTCATACACCTGAGAGTTGGTTGTGGGCTGCGGCAATCACGAAGAACTCCCTCTGGGTGAAAGGTGGTTGGGACTGTTGTGCTCCTGGCTGACGTAATGGCACCAAAACTCTGGGCAATGCTCCCCAGATGATGGCACGCAACTCCTGATGGCACATGGCAATACGCACTTGCTTATCCACATCTGCAGTATGACAGAAGGAATTAGGGCGGCAGAGGCATATGATTCTGGAATATTTGCAAAATAAATATGCTCCATGTGAGCAGGATTTAATCCACATTTGTATGGCCGTCATTTAGGACTTTCATTTCTTCAAATAATCTTTACAGTCTTTCATGTGTCTCCAAATGATTGCAGATCCCACAATGAAAGATTCACTTTGAAAGAGCAGCAAGAAAACATTGGAACAGGCTTCGATGTGAATCAAACTTACGTATGTTTCATTTATGGACAAGACCAAGATGGCACAATCTAACAGCTAGTGGCATTTCAGGACACAGCAATGGCTACTTACTCTGTCTGCTGATGTCACTGTTGTTGCAGAGGAAAGAACTACCTGCTCTGGGTGTGTGACAGTCATGGCGACAGAAGACCCCAACCAGACTGTGGTAAGCCACTTCTTCCTGGAGGGCCTGATGTACACAGCTGAACACCCTAGCTTCTTCTTCCTCCTTTTCCTCCTCATCTACAGCGTCACCTTGACTGGGAATCTTCTCATTCTCATAACTGTAGCCTCTGACCCTCACCTCTCCTCCCCTATGTACCACTTCCTGGGGCATCTCTCCTTCTTGGACGCATGTTTGTCTACAGTGACAGTGCCCAAGGTCATGGCCGGCCTCCTGTCGCTGGATGGAAGGATGATCTCCCTCCAGGGCTGTGCGGTGCAGCTTTACTGCTTCCACTTCCTAGCCAGTACTGAGTGCTTCCTGTACACGGTCATGGCCTATGACCGCTACCTAGCTATCTGCCAACCCCTGCACTACCCAGTTGCCATGGACAGGCGGACGTGTGCAGGGCTGGCTGGAATCACTTGGGCCCTGGGTGCTGTGCACTCTGCCACCCATACCTCCCTCACCTTCCGGTTGCTCTACTGTGGCCCTAATCGCATTGCTTACTTCTTCTGTGACATCCCGCCTGTACTGAAGCTGGCCTGTGCGGACACAGCCGTCAATGAGCTTGCCATGCTTGCCAGCATCGGTGTCGTGGCAGCAGCTTGCCTGATTCTCATCATCTTTTCCTATGGCTTCATCGCCGTGGCGGTGCTGCGGATTCGCAGCGCTGAGGGCCGACAGCGTGCCTTCTCCACCTGCACTTCCCACCTCACGGTGGTGTGTCTGTACTACCTACCGCCCGTCTGCATCTACCTGCAGCCTCGCTCCAGCGGGGCAGGAGCCGGTGCCCCCGCGGTCTTCTACACAATAGTCACACCCGCGCTCAACCCTTTCATTTACACTCTGCGGAACAAGGCCATGAAGCAGGCTCTGCGGAGACTTCTGGGCCAAGGCTCTGCAGCGGGCAGCCCACCCCCGCAGCCTGTGCTGGGACTCTCCTGACGGCCCCTCATGGAAATCAACTGTCCTCACAGCAAAATGAGGGGAAATCATTCAAGTGGAAATTAGTGTAAGACTTTCAGCTCAGCCGCCCAACGTTTTCCCTCCCTTTGGCCCAGGGACGTGCCTCAAGGCTTCAGCCACAAACTGTTCATCTATGAAATGGATTAGGTGATGTCTCGAGTATTTCTAAGATCTATGGAAATAGCTATCTATGTTCAGTGGTTCACAGGTATGTGAATGCTATTCCTATCCTCTTTTATTTTGCTAAATGGTTCTTTTTTATTTTGTATGAAATAATTTCATTAAATATTTAGTACACTAAAGAATGCTGCTAGCAAAAATATGTTTGAGCAACAAATGAAACCGCACATGTATCACCTTGCTTAAGGAAAAAAAAACATTTCCAGGATAATAAAATACAACTACAAAGAGAAAAGTGACTTGCCCCAGGTCACTTAGAAAATGTCATTGTCTTTATTCTCTGACTCAAGATGGCATGTAACTAAGCGGTAGAAACGTGGATTTTGAAGTCAGTCGTGCCTCCCAGTCACATGATCTGAGCTGATCTGACCAGTCACTAGATGTATAATCTGGTGCAAATGTCATATTACTTGACGTTTCAGTGTCCTCATTTAATAGTGAGGTTAAAAATAATGCTTTGGGCATCTTATGAAAACAATGTTAAGGGCCTGGTGCAAAGTAGGTGATCTGTTCCTTACACAGCAGTTTAAGGGGTCAGAAAGGGCTTGTTGTAGAAGCTAAGATTCTAACAGTCTCTGAAGAACTGGAAGAGTTGTGATACCCTCCCTGAATGTGGAAAAAGCAAGTACCAAAGAAAGGTATTTCTAGACTCCCAGGTGACAAAAGATAACTCAAGGTTAAAATTAAAGCAGCTTGTCATATTGTTGGGTTCATCACACCATATTGTGGGGGGCCCACAGAGCCCCCCTCCCCACCATCTACATACTCTCTCTACCCATGATTCTGTCTCTGTTCTTCTTGTTTGATTAGTTTGGGGTTTTTTTTTATTCAATTGTTGACAGGCTTGTATTTATTGCCATTTTATTGTTCATGATTTTGATCTTTGTAATCTTAAATAAATCCCTTTAACATTTCTTATAATAATGGTTTGGTGATGATGAACTCCTTTAGTTTTTCTTGTCTGGGAAGTTCTTTATTTGTCTTTTGATTCTAAAGTACATCTTTGCTGGGTAGAGCAATCTGGCCAGGTCCCTACTTTTCATGACTTTTAATATTTCTTGCCAGTGCCTCTTGCCTGCAGTTTCTCTTGAGAAATCTACCTACAGTCTTACGGGGATTCCCTCTAGGTAACTTACTGCTTTTAATATTGTCTCTTTATCTTTAACCTTTAGTATTTTAATTAGAATGTGTCCTGGAGTGGGCCTCTTTGCATTCATCTTGTTTGGGACTCTCTGTGCTTCCTGGACTTGCATGTCTATTTCCTTCACTAAATTAAGGAAGTTTTCTTTTATTATTTTTTCCAATTTCTTGCTCTTTCTCTTCTCCTTATGGTACCCCTATAATGTGCATGTTGGAACACTTGAGGTTGTCACAGAGGCTGTTTATACTATACTCATTTTTTTTATTCTTTTTTCTTCTTGTTCTTAATCATTGCTTCTTGCATCCTTATGTTCTAAATCATTGATTTCATTCTGGGCTTTATTCACCCTATGGTTGTTTCCCTGTAAATTGTTCTTTATTTTAATTACTGTGCCCTTTGTTTCTGACTGGATCTTTTTATGCTGTTGAGGTCCTCAATAAGTTCCTTGAACATTCTTATAACCAGTGTTTTGAACTCTGCATCTGGCAGATTGCTTATCTCCATGTTGTTTCACTCTTTTTCTAGAGATTTGACCTGTTTTCATTTGGGCTATGTTTCTTTGTCCCCTCATTTTGGAAGCCTCCCTTGTGTTTGTTTCTACATATTAGGTAGAGCTGCTTAGACTCCATGTCTTGGTAGTGTGTCCTAATGTAGTAAATGTCCTGTAGGGTGCAGTGGCACAGCCTCCCCTATCACCCAGGCTGAGTACTCAGGGTGTGCCCTTCTTGTTGGATGAGTACACCCTCCTCTTACAGTTAAGGCTTGGTTGTTGTTGGCAGGTCAATGGAAGGGATTTGCCCAGGCAAAAAGATCAACCATTTATATGGAAAAGCTCCTATTAAATTGGGAGTGGGGGGTGGAGCCTCAGGAGATCTCCAGGGCAGTGCAAAAAGTGTTAGACAAGGTTGATGGTGTCTCAGATATGGCACCAGCCTACTGGCTCTGTGGTTCTGCCTGCCTTTCTGTCTAGGAGAAGTCTATACCCTGGGTCTTGCCATTCAGTTTCACCCTGTATGTCACTAGTGCTTTTCAAGCTGCTACCCCAGTGCTGGAGCTCAGATGGAGTGAGTCTGAGTAAGTTCACATGTGGGTTCTTTAAGAGGAACTGCTTGGGACTTCAGGTGTTTCTTCCACCAACCCAATCCCTCATGGTTTTTGCAGCCAACGGTTATGGGGACTTCTCTTCCTGGCACTGATAGCCTGAGCTGGTGGGCCTGGTATGGGGCTGAGATCATCACTCCCAAGATATCCCTCCCAAATTTCTATACACTACACATGTACATGGGACCAGCCCATTCCACATCCCTGCCCCTCCTACCGGTCTGGCTGGTTTCTTTAATTCCACAGTTGTCGGACTTCCACTCAACTTGATTTCTGCTTGTCCTTAGTAATGGTTGTTCTATACTTTTGTTGTAAGTTTGACGTGGTCTTGTGAGGAGGTGAGCTGTGTTCATCTACACTGCCATCTTGACTGAAACTCTAAAACAGCATTTTTTAAATATCCTGTTACTTAGAGTTTTATTTGGAAGGTTTATATTTTCAACACAGAGTGAAACAAAATAAGTTTTCCATTTTTCATATGGAAAACAATGCAATAATTAAGACATAATATTACAAGAATAAACTCTTTTGTGTACTCACAACTGTAAACCTACTTTTGCCCCACCCTGTATTTACATTGTGTGCCTTCCCATTTTAATTTTTGCTAACAGTTCTGTTATGTAAAATAAGGTAAGTGTCTGAAAAATATTAAAAGGAGAGCACAGTGAGGTAACGTTTGCCTGGACTGTTATAATGATGTGTGAGCTTTGGGGTCAGATGTCCCAAATCCAGTCTTACCACTCTTTATTCAAGGGAACTTCTCTTTGAAATTGAATTCCCCAAACTTTCAATAGGAGTCCTTGAACTTAGATTATCCTCCTCCATGTTGACCTACAAGTGACCAATAGGGCCATTACAAAGTCATTATATATAGTAAATTTACATTGCAGTTTTGGAACCTCTCTGCCCCATTAATCACCATGACAGTTCTGGGAAAACCAAAATAAATTGGTATGTGGAGAGGAGGGATGAGGACAAGCCACATTGGCAATCACTCCACCAGCATCAGAAGCCGAGGACCACCCTACCCTCACCCAACCTCTACCCCCACCCCAACCAGCATCTAGTTCTTTGAGTTTGCCTGCACTCCCTTGTTGAGTACATATTTTCTTTTTAATAAACTCAGTGTGCATCACTGAATATTTCTCTCTCATCCTCAAGTTCCTGTGTGGTGATGAGGACCAAGACACTGCAATCAGGTTGAGGCCTCCCTTGGCTGCCCCAGGGTACACTCCAGCATCACTTCCAAGTAATTTACCTATTGTTCTTAATATTCACATCCTTCATGCATCTTAAAATGACTGAAGTGCTTCGAGAACGGTATAGTAAGAACCTACAATTGTCAAAATCAATTTTTTTCAGAACTCTAGAAATTAATTAAGGTCTTGAAACAATCTGAGGAGCATCTGAGATAGCTACATATCAGTAAAAACACAAAAGTACGTGGCATTAACTTGGCCCCTCCCCATCCTCATTGCCCTGCAGCCTAACCAAAGAGTCAGAATGGGTTTGAAACTCCCACAAAAGCTTACTTTCCCAGAATTGTCATTACTGACACACTTGGCAACTAACTAGAAACCCCCATTTGCAGGGTCCCCCTTAAGTCAATTTGACTTAGAGCTTTCTCACTGGAAACAGTGATTCCCCGGGGTATTCACCTCAGTCAGTGGCAACTGTTTAATGTTGAAGCTGCCCGAGATGGTGGTAATAGTTGGGCCAAACAAGAAGCTACCAAAACCATAAAAGAAAGGCTGTGGAATGAGAGATACATTAGGGGCTTTGAAAATGTCTGAAAATTCCTGAACCACAATAATACATACAATCTTTATGTATATATGACTATTCAGTTCTAATATCACCAGGAAAACTTTTTGAAAATGTGTGTCTGTTGGGACTTAAAGACTATCTTCAACTGCCAAGAAAACTCTTCAAACACTGAATGAACCATCCAGAGAATGAAATGCTTTATTCAATTAAAACCATGATTTTTATATTATGGTATTACTGGAGGAAGTGATAAAGAATAGAACATTTTCTACAGTAATTAAATTTCTACACTAGTAACATGAAGAAGAAAGGATTCACCTTTGTTACGCAGCGAGCTTCAGTAAAGACTCACAGACACCTAACAGCTATGTGCAGTTTGCCACCACCACATCTTCCTCCAATTTCTTTGAAACACAGACAACTGAATTTGTACAAGGACTTGGAATTGGTTGATACATCACAAATGTCTTTTTTTAGGCAACAACTGACAAGCTGTTAGTGAACAGTTCATTGATTAAGAGGGCCTTATCAATTTCTTAAATTTCCTGGGATCTCTAAACCTTGGGGATAAATGGTATTTCCATTTTTGCTTAAATTATTAAATATATCCCCCTCCTTTCCAGAGACCCACTTTTCACTGACAACTGGAGAGTTGGAATATAAATCACAATTATTTACATACAGTCTCTTATTCCAGGAGATTTCAGAGATTGCAGCCTCACAGGGTTTTCTGTTAGTTTCTGTTCTCTCTCCTGAGACTTGCAACAGAAGCTCCATCTCCTGCTTACTC